CTTTTTATTTTGTTTTGAGTATTGACAAGAATCTCCTATCAATTTTAGTTTACACCATTCTAAAGCTTCTTCTCTAGCCAATATCTCCAAACCTTTCCAAACTCTGCATGCAAGCTAGTTCCAAAGGCTTCTGAACCACATGGCCAGAGTCACAGCAATGACCCCCCTTTCTGCTACCAGAATCTTCCTTAGTCACTTTCTCATTGCTGAGACACAATACTTAACACTCACAATTTAAAGGAGGAAAGGTTTATTTTGGCTCCCAGTTTGTTACATTTTGGCCTGAGGTCAGCCTGCTCCTAGGCAAAACAGCATGGTGGGAAGGCCTGAGCAGAGGAAAGCTGTTCGTCTCTTGGTATCTGTGAAGTACACAGAGACAAGGAAGGAGCACAAAGGAAGATCAGTCCTTCTAGGTCACGCCCATAGTGACTTATCACCTCCAACTAGACCCCACCTCTCAACACCAAGCCAGCCATGCTGCCCCCGTAATCCAATCACTTCCCATGAGCCCCCCCTATGGAGATAGGAGGCTTTGGGGGTATATCCAGGTATAAGCCCTAACAAGTAGTGATCACCTTTTGGCTTCTATATCTGTCCCCACCCCCCACCCTGGGAAAGAATAAAAGATGGTAGGTGAATGGAAGGGTAACTGTAACATAGGAATTAAAGAAAAGCCATAAGAAGGTATCCTTGGTGACATACCCAAAGGGCAGGGCCTGGGGACATCTCTGCCCAGGGATGATTCAGGGCTTGAATTTAGAGCCTCACTCTCTGAACTGTTTCCAGAAGTCTGCCACAAATGCACCATTGCTCACTTGTCCTGATGAGATTTCCATGGGGGTGTGGTCCTAGCCGAGATGCCCTGTCCAGAGCAGCATATACACTTTGTATATATTTTATCATAAAGCATTTAATGCATAAAAATATGTGAATTATTTATAGAGGTTGTCAAACTCAGTAACAAAGCAAAAACCTCAGCATCCCACACACATTTTGTAAAAATAAATATTGCCTACTTTGGTGATGCTTCCTGTGGGCTTCTGTCTGCCCCTTTCTGCTGCCTCCTCTGGGGAGGTGACCCCTATCTTGATGGCATTTGTCATCCTCCTTCCTTTTAAATAAATTCTTACCACCTATGTGTGTATCTCTAAATAGCCTGTTTTGAGCTTTATAAAAATATGGAATTATAGCTTTTTTGAGCTTATTTAAATGCCATATATTGTTCCGGAAGATGAAAAGTAGATCTGTACCCTTGAAACTTGGATTTTGCTGGCACAGATAAGTGCTGTTTTCCCTGGTGGCACCTATCTGGAGTCAGGGCAGGGCTGGCAGTCTGCACAGATTTCTGCCTGCAGCTCTGTAGGGGAAAGGGTGCTGCAGCCTGTCAGGGAAGCTGAGCGACAGGATCTCTAGCTTTGGGCTCCTCATGAACACAGGGACACCCAGAGAAGAGGTGTCTGGGCTTCTGGAGGCAGGTAGACTTGTTTCTGACTCCAGAATTATGTGGGGCAGACAGGGAGGGTGAGAGGCAGAGCACTGAACTCGCAGCTATAATGTGGAACTCAGTGGATACGAGTGAAGGGTGTGGCAATGTAGACAACTGGAAAGCAGAGCTCCAGCATCTGCTTTCCTGGACCTGGTGGGGAAGCTCCTGGTGAGTAGAACAGAGGTTTAGAGCAGCAGAGTGATCAGTGCCACCATTCCTTGTGCCTTCATCACTTAACAACCTGTTATTGAACACTTATAAGTTTCCAGGGTTATCTGTGTTATATCATGTCAAAGATAAGATGGTGACTAAGACTGTTCCTGCTGTAAAGTACTTCAAGTCTAGCAGGAATTCAGCTGTTCCGTTCATCAGCTTTTACTCAGTCATGCTGTAGTGACACATGATCACCAAACAGCAGCAGCTTACAACAGTGAGTTCCTTCTTTGTTTGTGCTGAGTACTACTGTGAGATGGCTTCACCTCTGTTCCACACCCTCAGCCTCCTGGATCCCAGGCACAAGGAGCAGCTCACTTCAGGCCCATGTTATTTTCATGGGAGGGGAGGGGAATGAATGAGGTGATTCAGCCAGGCAATGGTTCTGAAAATGTCTGCTCAAACCCAGCTTCACCATCCCTATGATAACTCAGCCACTGGAGCAAGTCCTATGGCTAGGCCGGTACCACCAGGGAAGGGAGCCGAGCTTCACAGGCAGGCACTGCACTGCAGGATACAGCGTGGGGAGCTGCAGGAAGCTTCAGGGAGGGCAGAGATTACTTGGGAAAAGTATTAGTCTATCACAGATATAGGCAGGCAATTTCAGGAACAGTAAGATAAAGCTTCATTATAAATGAGTATAATATTTTTAACTATATAAAATAAGTTTACACATAAATGTATATTTTCCCTCTGTAAGTTAGCTTCAGAGGCTCTTTTGAGAAAACAGTTTAAAAACTACTGCTCTGAAACTGAGGCTTGTTGCAGAAAACTGAATCAGAGGAGGTGGAGGAGGAGAGGTAGCAGAAGATGGCTGTAGAAGACTGTAGACCACTCTAGACAAGCAATAGATTCTGTGCTATTTAAAAACAAGTGTCTTATCCTGGTTACTCACCTGACACATGTACCAGTCCTCTCAGTGTGCTGTCAGCCCGTTTGAGCTGTCTGTAGGCACACTGCATAATTCTGAGTCTCTTTTGTGCTCTGTCCCTACCCACTCATACACCCCACTTGACCTCATCATCATTTCCACATTCCCTTTCTTCTTAATCACTGTGTCCATTGATGTTTGAGACCTGGCCATGGCTTCTTTTCATATGCCCCAGTAGTGGATTAACTAATGGTCAACTTGTAACTCCCAACTGAGCTTACTCAACGTACTGCTGGGTGCAGAAGGCCCATCTGAGGATTGTTGCCAACAGCATAAAAAGAGAACTGGAGGGGAAGATGGTTCCGTTCATTCTCCTGGAGAAGCTTGTCACTCTGGTTTTCCTGATATGAATTCAGCCGTTCCCCTTGATGGAGGGACTCAGGCTCTCACTGTCACTGAGGATGGCTGTGATTCTTTTTCGGGGGGCTCTGGTCCTTACCTTGAGCATTGCTTCTTGGCTCCAGTGCAGATCCCTCAACCTGCTGGCACAGAGCCTTCATTCCACTGGCACAGAGTTTCTAGCTTCCACCACTGGCCGTTGGGCCTTCCCAGTGCAGATCCTTGCTACTGACTTGCATGAGATATTGTTACAGGCTCTAGGCCTCCAGCTGGACTTGTGGAGAACATTTCCATGGGTTCTAGGTCTTCAGCTTGGCTCATACAAGACATTGCCGTGGGATCCAGGCCTTTTGGCTAGATTCTTTGGGTCTCTAGTGCATGGACAGATCTCTTGCACTGTTCTGCATTTGACTTTTTAGGTGAATATTATAAAATAATCCTATAATTATGTGTCCTGTATTAATTCCTTTCCCTTGCAAACCCTGACTACAACAAACCCAGAACTCCTCCTGTCTCCCTGGGCACATACTAGGTATTTCACACAGTTCCACAAAAAGGTCTTTAGTGTAAAGAGGAAGCCAGCAATCCACAGGCTTTCTCTCACTCTGCCTGCAAAGGTAGCCAGCAACTGGATGGGTGACAGTTGGAGATAGGCAGTGTGACTCCAGTACATTGAAAACTGGGTTTAAAGAACTCTTTGCCTTGCTTTGTAATCAGTTTTGGGACTGAAGAGCTTGTCCTGTCACAATGAGCCAGTGTTCATCTGCACTCATGTGTGTTGCTTTGCAAATGCTAGTGACCTTTTTTCAAAGGTTTGCATTTGTGTTTTCCAAGGGCAAGGGCTGTATCTCCTCTCTTCTTTATTTTGAAAGATTCCCCGTGGCATCTGATAAGAGCTGCATGGAGAGCAGGTGCTCAGTAAATTTTGCCTATCTCTTCTTCCTTTGAACATCCATCAGGTATCCATATGTTTCTGGACTGGGGGCCTTTGCAGAGGATTGATTATACACAAGCTTTGATCCTAAGACTTTTACAGGCAAAAAGAGAGTAAACTCTCAGGCAACACAGATTTAGACCAACAACGAAGGTGCATAATTAGCCACACACACAGTATAGTATGAAATGTCTGTACTCCAGAGAACCTTCCACATGACAGAAAGTGAACCAGAACCCTTGTGAGCTCAACCTTGGAGTCAGACATAGGTTTGAATGAGCATTATAATCTTTCCTAAGTAATTTAACCTCAGTGTCTCAATTCCTTCCTCCATAACGTAAGAATATTAAAAAATAGCAGTGTGTGGTCTGTTGCACTTGTAAATACCATTCTTCTCTTCTGTTTTTGTTTTGGATCTATTTAAACTTCAAAGTCAAGGGATAGAAAAAAGGAATCTGAAGTATGGCTATTGTTGCTGTTAAAGAGTGACAAGAGGTTACGCATATGGAATTCCAAGGCGAGTTACATAGCCACAAGCATCCTCCAGCCAGAGAAGACTGGTGCAAACATAGTTTTGGATGCAAAATATTCTCCCAATTTTGCTCCCAAGGGAAAGAGGCAGAGCAGAGATGCACCATCAACATTTATAGAAGATAAGAGATTGTCATCCTCTTCCTCCGGAAGAGCATTTTTCCAGGCTACTTAGGACTGTTTCACACACTGAGCTGCTTTTATGGGGAGGTATGGGAGAAGAAGCCTTCGGTAGCCTGGTGGATATGGTCACTGACCATGTAGAACTGCACAGTTGTTAAATTTCATGTTAATAATCTTATTTTATAAATAGTAACAGTTGAGTTTGCCATTCATTACAGTGAGCCTTCTGGTGCTTCTGCAGTTTTTTGGAAATTATCCTACACATTTGGAAAAATCTGGAAGTCCATTTCTTATTTAGTATTCTGTAATGGAGACCTTTGGTTGAGGTGGACTTTTCCCTTTTCTGTGTTTGCTCCCATGGATCAAGGGCACTGGCCCTTTCCTAGGAAGCTAAGCAGGGGATTTTGGTGGCTGTGTCTTATCAGCTGTTCTCTCTCTTGCAGTGCAAGTTGGAGTTTCATGCTTGCTCTACTGGCAAAAGCCTCACCATTCTCTGTGATGGGCCCTGTCCTTGTATCCCGGAACCTGAGCCACCAAGACGCAAGGCAGAAAAGAACGGTGAGTGGGGGTTTTAGGAGATACCCTTGAAAAGGATATGATGGTCAGCTTTGGTGTGTCAAGCTTTGTCCCAGGTGCTAGGAACCGGACATTCAACAGAGCTGGTCAGACTTATGCAGGGGAAATGGGCTGACTTGGTTGTGTACGGGTCCTAAACTGAATTGCTTTCAGCTACTAGAAGAAAGATGGAAGAGCTGAGAGTCTTTGAAAATAATTCTGTTAGACCAAGCTATGCTCTATGATCTCTTGGAGGTCAAATTGGCTATGGTATGGGAGGGGCAGGATTTTCAGCATCTAAGATGAGGCCCTGCCCTGGGGTGTATCTTGGTCTTTCTTAAACTCTAATCTCTCAGATCCTTTGAACTTCTCAAGGCCAAATATTAAAATAAAGAATCCAGAGATGCCACAACAGTGGGTGTTCTCCCCCAAAGCATTACTTTATTAATGTATTCTGCTTGGAGTGTAGCACAAAGCCAGAAGACAGATGAAAGAGAATACCTCCCTAGGGAGTCCTCTTTCTCCTCCAGGGTTGAGAGGGGCAGGAAAACTTGGGACTCTTTGGATGTTTTCATGATGGAGATTGGAATGTTCCCACTGGCCTTGATCCTAAATCTTTTGTAATGAAACCCAAGGTGCATGTTTGAATTTTCCTTCTGTGGAACTGGGCTTTCTCAGTCATAACAAGCTGTTTCATGGAAAATACTGTGTGTTTATTTGTGAGTGTGAGTGTGTGCTCCTGTCTTCTAAACCTAGCAGCCATTTGTGGTGGAGGAGAGAAAATAGAGTGAGAGAATACTCGTTTGCGTTATCATAGGCAGTGTGGTTTTTTCCAAAAGACCAAAAGATGAAGACTTCAAATCTAAATTTGTTCATGATAATTTAGGAAGTATTGTGTCTGTGGACTCTTTGGAGGTTTTCTCAGAATGTGGAAAGACAAATTAGATCATAAAGCACTATGGTCACACAAAATCACCAAAGGTTATTTCTGACTTTCAAAAAAGCTGGTCACATTGCATTTGAACCTGATTCATTTATATGGTTGTAGTAAGAATAGTTAATTAACACATACAATTTCTTTGTACTGTCGTCTTGCCAGAAAATCTAAAATCATGTGGTGTTAAGTAGCTCCATAGTCCAGGAAATTAACTTCTGTCTGGAATTTTTTTTAAGAGTCTTCTTAGGAAGTTTCAGTAGCCTTCATTATTCCAGGTATATTGTTTTTTGCCTTTATTCAATCTATTCTGAGGCTGGGGAACCAAATCAAGAAAATCATCTCTGCTGTTTTGCCTGTATTATCTACAGATGAGGGTGAATAGTTCCCTTCATGGCCATCCACACATATTAAGGGTTCTCTGCTTGATGTAGTTATTTTGTGGAGCTTTTTGCTTCTCCAGATGAATGATCCTTGTTTCTAAATGGTGGTCTGTATACATAAATAAATGGAGCTGACTCTCTAATATGACACTCTGACTGTATTTTTTATTTGTGCTATTATTCACAGGTAAAATTTCAAACACATTTTTACCAAACCTATGCAAGTGAACACATTGCCCTTAAACATAGACTCAGAAAAAGTTTTGCTGCTCAATTCTGAAACATCATTGACAATAAGATTGCCATTTAAAATGCTTCAAGATATTTGCAGTAATGTAGACTACTGAATTAACTGTGATATCAGAAGAACTGAAAAGTATCATCCTACCACATAAGAAAAGAGAATATAAAAAAATACCGACAACGTTCCAAAATAGCTAAACTTGTATTTCCTCATCAGTGTCTTCAGTCCTACAGATTCATTTTTTATTCCACTAAATGTTGGGCCAACAGTTTTGCTTTCAAAAAGTTGTCTACCTCTGGGCTCAAAACAATCTCAGAAATTCTTGCTTAGTCTTTAAGACAGTTTAGAAATTACCTAAGAAACGTCACCTCAGAAGCCTCACCAGTGAGTTTGTTACCCAAAGTGTCAATAGCTCACACGTGTTGGAACGTTTTTTCATGATCTTGTAAGGATGACACTCTTTGTTTGAAATTTAATTTCCAGGCTGTGACATAGGGCAGTGTTTTCATAGAAGCTTGAAGGGAAGCCGAAAGCACCTACTTGAGGGTAAGAGTGGGTGTCTCTAGCTAATTCATCATAGCATCCTACAGGATCCTAATGGAGGAGAGCAGAGTCCCCTATTAGGGTGTAATGTTCAACTACTTAACATGGATTTGATCAGTGCTTCCCTGGAGGATAAGAAAATGTTACGGGCAATGAGGGCTTTGACGATTCCCCAGGGTGATCATGTGAAATGAAACGTTTAAATTAATAATGTTTTACTTCAACAAATTTGATCAAGAGAAAGCTGACCTTTTTCTGTGATTTGACAGTTCTTTCCATGTAGCTGATGAGGGCTGGACTGCGCCTGTGACAGCTGGAATAAAGAGGAGGGGACGGATCCAAGGGAGAGCTCAGAAGTGAAATGAAAGGCACTCTTCAGTTGACAGCTTAGCTGCAGGTGGAGGGAGGGAGGAGAAGAGTTAAGCATGAAGCTCACCTTCCTTCCCTGTCAGCAGTCATTTCTGGAAGCTGCTCCGGGCCAGTCTGGCAACTTCATGAGACCCTGCCTCAAAATAAAAGGGCTGTATGTATAGCCCAGTGCTCTCTGGGTTTAGTTTCCAGTACTGGAGAAAAAATAATGGCAATATGAGTATTGGTGTTGTTGCTGGTATTTTATCTTCAACATTACTTTGCTTTTGGAGCCCAGATGGTGATGAAATGTCCATGGAGTCACTTCCAGGTAGATTCTATGAGGTCAAAGCTGTATCTGAACCCTAGAAAGCAGGGGTAACATGTGGGCTTCTGAGCTGCAAGGCCAGTGGGAGGCAGGTCCTGGTGGTTACTGTCATTCTTTGACATCTGGCCACTTCTGTGGAGTTCTTGCCATCTTCAGTTAGTTGGTATCTTAGTTACTTTCTCATTGCTGAGACAAGATACCTGAAATATGCAAGTTAAAAGACAAAAAGCCTATGGTATTTCAGCTCACAGTTTCTAGGGGTTTTAGTTCATAGTAGGCTTGTTCCAAACCAGGACAGCATGGCAGAGAGGCATCACAGAGGAGAAACAGTCCATGGCAGGGCAGGCAGGAAGCAACAAGCCTGCCTTCTTTTCTGTTCCTTTATATTCTGTCCAGGCTACAAGTCTATTGATTGGTGCCACCCATACCCAGGGTAGGGCTTCCATCATCCACAGCCAGAACTATGTTAAACAGGCTTAGTTATCACACCCCCTTAATCCTAGGATCATACACCCTAATCAAGCATCACATACCCATGACCCACCACCTGCCTAAAGCCCCACTGCCTATGAGTACATGAAGTTTTGGGGAGACATTTAGATAATGAACCATAACAGTTGGTTGCTGATGTTTATCCCCACCATGTCTAGTGAGAATATTTGAGATACCATCTGTGACATCTGGGTATCATGTCTATTGAGGTTATGTGAATTCCTTTTTTCCTTTACATCAGACTCTCCTGAATTCACGTGCTCTCTCACAGCCCTACTTGGCCCTGTTCAGGGACACAGAAAACTTGAGGATGCTTTTCTAACATTTTATGGCATCAAAAAGACTGATGAGGTTGGCATCTACTGATCTGTGTGCAGCCATTTCTATTCTATACAGAGGTCATCTGACTTTATTATTGGTAGCAAAACACAGGTCCTCTTTACTGCAGAGGCTTAGCTCCTGTCTTGGTTTTCCATTGTGTCCTTCCAGCCTAGGACCAGAATTAGATCAGGAGGGTGGAACATTTCTTGGGAGCTCACCTGCCTCTACCTGTCCCTCTCCCTCTGGAGTCACACTTCATGCAGCCCCAGTGTTGGTCAGCCCTGAATGAGAGCATGCATGGTGTGTAAGCACAGGGCCTAAGTCTTACTTTATTTCAGAGCATTCTGCTTTCTTCTAGCCTGTGGTCTTTGAGTTAAAACATGCTCAGCTCTTGCAAATCAGAAGTCTCCTGCATCTTCAGAGGATGGGTTCATCCTTTAATACTTTTGCATATTTCCTATTATACCTCTCAAGTACCTCATGACCTAGGGCAAGTTATTTAAATTGTCTTATTGTTCTGATCATATAAAGTCAATCCGGCCTCCAAAACGTAAAGTAATGATAATCCAAAACACAAAACAAAACAAAAAGTTTAAAAGAGGGAGTTCAGGGAGTAGAGAGGTAGCTCAGTAGTAGAACATATGTGTGAGGTCCTGGGTTTGATCCGCTGCATCAGAAAATAAAGGCAGACAAAAGGCAGTGTATATATGACTACATATGTATTAAGCCTGAGTTTTATACATTTTTCTGGGTTTTTCGGGAACAATCTCTCCCACTCTCCCTTGGCATTTTCTCAGCCTCAACAACCAGGGCATTCAGGCAGCCACTTTTTAGGTGGAGCTTTACTTCTTAGTGCCAAGGTATTTCTCCTGCTTTTCCTTCATTTCTCAGAAGAGCCTATGAAGAAGGTATGAGATGCCAGGTTTTATTTTTTGATTCTTTACAATGGTGGAAAAAATCTAAGGGGAAAATAGAAGCTCTTAAGATGAGAGGCTTTAACGTACATTTTTCGACTAGCCAGTGCTCCTTTTCTAAGCCCAAACATTTTCCCACCTCGCACCCTTCCCCTTTCTCAGGAGACAAACCCTCCCTCTTGGCCTGAGCTTGGCAACCTGCTCGCTGACACCATTAATCAGAAGAGGGGTTTTCAGCTTCCTCAGACTCAAGAGAAAACTTCGTAGAGCTGGAGGATTCTGCTAAGGAAGGAGCGCTCTTCTCCTGTGAGACGCCATGTCGAGGGCCCCTTCTGCTCCTTGAGGGTACTGTTCACTTTCCCCAGAGGGCTCAAGGGAACATCATTTGTGGGGCCTCAGACCTTTCCCTTCGTCTCCCCCATTTTTATATTTTACCACTTGACATTATATTTGTACGAAGAGTTTGACCACCAGTGATGACCAGAAGACAACGCTG